AATGGCAGGTGAGGATGATGACAGGTGAGGCCCTTCCTCCCCTTACCACACATCCCTGACTGTTACGAGTGTGATGGGTAGAACCACACGAAATCTGCGGGCGCTGAACTCTGCAGATTTTACGCAGATTTTTAGCCCTTCATTAATTCTGTTTATTTACTTGAGTAAATGTGTGTAAATCTATATTTATTCAGTTTTTAATTTAATTACAGTAATATTATTGACTAATGTGAAAATGTTCATCTGATTTACGTACAATGCAGTCTGTAAAGTAATATTTTCTGTCTTTTAGTAGATATGTTATATGAAAGACTTGCTTTGTGTAACCACATAAAGTGAATCTATTTGGATTTGTGTTTTAAAAGTTAAATAAAAGTGATTATTTTTTATTTCACATATTAAGGTTTTAGTTGTGATACTCCCAAAATAATTCCGCAGAAATCCGCAGATTTTTACCAAAATTCTCCGCAGAAATAGCAAAAAACATCAGCAGATTCTGTTTAGCCCTAGTGATGGGTTTATACAACAGTTAGACGGCATAATTGTGTTTATAAAAAAGACAATCAAAGACGGAGAGTATCAAAAAATCTTTTTGTACGAGGAACTACTTTCTTCCACCATTCTTTCACATCTGCAGCTGATGGTTAGAACAGCAGAAACCGTTGCAACTTCATAGACGTCACTTTAGGATTTGAATGATTCTCTAGTGTAATGTCTAAAGTGATGACAAAACAACTAATTTTACTCACATTTTAGGATTATAATGCATGATATGACATCAGTCTAAAGAGATTTCCCAGTATTTTTCTCTTGCAATCGGGAGATCACAATAATTAACCCTAAAAAACAGTAAAAGCAAACAGCAAACAGCAAAGCAAACACTGGCAGATTACTATGGTATAAATACAGCACTACAACATACAAAAGAAAGAGATCGACTTAGAACGTCACTTACCTGTTCTGTAATGCTTTTATCAGCTGTAATTTGAAAATTTTCCTCCCCAAAGGATGTGTTAAACGGCCTCTGTTGCCATCTTGTGGTGGAAAGTCAACCCTCTTTGCTCTGCTCAATGACAGGCTGATGGCCGCTAATGTGCTCATTCATTTTCTTTTCGGCTTAGTCCCTTTATTAATCTGGGGTCGGCACAGCAGAATGAACTGACAACTTATTAAGTGTTGGTTTTACGCATCGGATGCCCTTCCAGCTGCAACCCATCACTGGGAAATTGCTAAATCTTCAAATAGCCCCTATCCTTATAAATAAACTGCACAGTTGCAATCTAAACAAATACATTCTTGCCGGAAAAAGCCTCAAAAGTACATTGTGTTGTCCAACAGTTACAATATTTGTCAAACTGTAGTGAGCCAATTGATCTGCTGTCACTCTATGTGGGCAGAGTAATACAGAAAAATGTGGAGTGCTGTTGTTGCAAAATATTGCACGGCTATCAGCCAATCAGATTTGAGAAACTGTCAGAACTGTTGTGTAAAGTGATATATTGTCTGAATTGATGTTGTACATGACAATACAAAAACCTCAAGTAAACTGCGGGTATATTTAGATGTATATTTAGGTAGAGGTGATTTTTCAATTTGAACAGTCAACAAAGCATAGATCGAGGTCAAAGATCAGCTGTCAGGGGCGGACTGGCCATCTGGCAATTCTGGCAAATGCCAGAAGGGCCAGACCAATTTTAAATGTGGGTCGGTCAGTTCTATCTATCTATCTATCTATCTATCTATCTATCTATCTATCTATCTATCTATCTATCTATCTATATCTATCTATCTATCTATCTATCTATCTATCTATCTATCTATCTATCTATCTATCTATCTATCTATCTATCATCTATCTATCTATCTATCTATCTATCTATCTATCTATCTATCTATCTATCTATCTATCTATATTGTTTTTACGTGCAGGCAACTTTTATCTCTTGCTAGAAGTGATGTTATGATGATAATAATAATAATAATAATAATAATAATAATAATAATAATAATAATAATAATACATGTTAAGCATTTGGCCCAATCGGCGACGGTCGCCTGATTTCAAGATGGGCCGACCCAATCCGAGGTTACTGGATGTAATCAAAATCTGGCAAGAATGTCATATTATTTCACCATCTGTACACCAAAATAAATAGTGAATGTGCATGTTCGTGGGTGGGGCTTTGTCAGTGTGGTAATGTGGGCTGAATTTTTGTCCTAGTCCGCCCCTCTCAGCTGTAAATAAACGAATAAACGGCAAAAACACTTTTGAATGACAAAATAAATACGATAACTGTTAATTAACATATATTTTGCACAGTGTGTCTTTTACAATAATCATCTATATTAAATATGTACAATAACCTCTTTACAGTCACACAAAAAAGAGAGCTAATTTAGCCACTTTACAGCATTATCTTCTCATTTATTTAGCAGTCAACAAATGATGAAAACATTCTCTTAGAAAAAAAAATTAGCCTTGAAATGAATAAACATTTTAAAGTCTTAAAAACTATAATACAATATGCTCAATATATTCATTTGGTTTGTACAAAGAAAAGAAATGACAAAACAATATTTCTATTTTAATCACTGAAAGCAACATAAAGTATCAAGACACAGACACAAAGAACCAGAAAGAAGTTGTATCTCTGATACAATATGTCAGACTTTTTCTACCAGTAAAGTTTATGGACCTTACAGATGTGTTTCTTTTAATCATTCTGTAATGGAGTGAGCTAATTAGAGCAACTCTGCATGATAAAGAACGAACAGCATATGGTCTACGCTTGTGGGTTTTAAATCACAAGAATATCAATTGACAACACAGAAATAAAAACTATTTTAAAAAGATAATGTCCGGCTGCCGTAACACCTGAACCACACAGTACACATTAATTAGCTTACTTTACTGTACTTACAAAAGTGAGTAAACCCGTTACTTTAAACGTGACCTTACAAGTTGACTTTACTCAGAAAAGTGAACCCATTGTTACTTGGAAGTGTTGACTTAACATTCATTCATTCATTTTCCTTTGTCTTAGTCTCCATTTCAGAGGTCGCCATTGTGGAATGAACCACCAACTATTCCAGCATATGTTTTTTGCAGCAGATACCTTCCAGCTGCAACCCAGAATTGGGAAACACACTCGTTCAAACGCTCATACACTATAGACAATTTAGTTGATTCAATTGACCTATAGCGCATGTATTTGGACTGTGGTGTACTCGGAGGAAACCCACACGAATACCGGGAGAACATGCAAACTCCACATAGAAATGCCAACTGGCACAGCTGGGACTTGAACCAGCGACCTTCTTGCTGTGAGGTGACAGTGCTAACCACTGAGCCACCGTGCCACCCTCTTGACTTAATTTCTATAATTATGCACATAGTTCCTTAACTTGAAATGTTAGGTCACCCAGAAATGAAATTATGTCATTATTAATTCCTCGCCCTCATGTCGGTCCAAACTCCTGAAACCTTTTAAAATGGGCTATATGCACAGCTAGTGTTTTTCAGCCAAGGATGAAGTCCTGGTGAAAGCTTTATGTGATGATTTTCAATTTCATAAGGTTCCTTTTACAGCATTGATGTTGTATTGTAATTCAATATAATCAGTTAAATAGACTTATGTATTCATTTAGTTGTTAAAGCGTAAAAAGAGACGAAAGATTGTTTAATCGCAGGCGGTATCATTAGCGGCAGGCTAGCGCAGAAATTCCATTGAAAATACTGGGGTAAAATTACTTCCGGCTTAGTCCTTTTATTAATCTGGGGTCGCTACAGCGGAATGAACCAAAAACTTATCCAGCAAGTTTTTACACAGCAGAAGCCCTTCCAGCCGCAACCCATCTCCCCGGGAAACATCCACACACACATTTACACACTACGGACAATTTAGCCAACTCAATTCACCTGTACCGCATGTCTTTGGACTGCGGGGGAAACCAGAGCACCCGGAGGAAACCCACGTGAAGGCAGGGAGAACATGCAAACTCCACACAGAAACACCAACTGAGCCAAGGTTCAAACCAGCGACCCAGCGACCTTCTTGCTGTGAGGCGACAGCACTACCTACTGCGCCACTGCCTCGCCATTTTAAAGACATGGCAAGAAAAAAAATGTAATTTAATTTAGTGCTTCTTGCTTGGTCTGATACCCACTTTATATTGTATCTCAGCCAGGCAGTGAAGATTGCTGTTTTCTTTAAGAAATCAGATCTACACACTGCAATTTTGTATTAGATGACAATTCACCAGAAGCTCTGGGGCTGGCTGACTGAAATTAAAAGTCTATGTGCATATACCCCATTAAATTAAATCATTTTGATGAAATCTGACGGCTCTCTCATCCTCAACTGACAACAATTTTCCTGGCTAGTTCAAAGTCCAGAAAGATGCCAAAAAGCATTCTTAAAACTGACGATATGACTTCAGGAGTTAAATCTGTATATTTTCAAGCTACGAGAATACTTTTGTGTCCACATTTAACAAACTTTTATTCAACAGTTTCTTCCTCTAATTGTGAGTTAACACCATGTGAGGAATTAGGTATTTGCACTAGTTAATTGCATTAAAAAACAATGCGAGTCGGCAAATAGAAACGAATTAAAGAGGAATTGGCGTTTAGCACAAATTAAATATCATGGATGATGTGTTTGGTGCAAATATGCAGAATTCACATCAGTCATGTCTATCACACAAGTTTAAATAATAGAAATTAGGTTACATTAGTGTTTGTGGATGTGCGCAATATACTGACACTATTGGAAACTGTTGAATAAAGTGTTTTTTTCTGTGTGCACAACTAATCAAGTAAATTAAGTCAACTAATCACTTTAAAAGCAGCAGATTTACTCACTTTTTAAAGTAAATTAAACTAATCTAAGGTTTTGTTCATTAACATTAGCTTCCATCTAAATATGTAAATAAGATTTATGCACAAAACTGAATTATCACATAAAACATTGGTGAATAAAGCACTTTTTTTCATAATTAATGAGTCAAAGACAACAAAATCATCACTTTCAGATAAACTAGTGCCAAATTTAAAATTAAATAAATGAGATTTGCTGTGGGAAGACGCGCCATTGTGTGCCTTTTTCTTTTATAATCAATTACTTGCAACACAGGCTCAGGCTCATTGTGGATACGTGCCCCTGTCTACATTTCTGGAGAGCGCAAATTATGTAGCCAGAGGTACATCTTTAACCTCTCAAGGTGTTTTTTTTTTTACATGCATTTTTTATTTCTCTTTGCTATTTGGGCTCATTGGAACCTAACTAGAATAAAATTGTAAGTATCATCCTTTGATAAGATGTGTTTTTAGAAAAAATGATATCCATATATGTGGATTCGCGGTCCGAATTTACATAGAACACTTTTCCCTGACTGTTTTGTAATGTATATTTAACATAGAATTTTTTTTTAACATGTTTTGACTATCAGAGAGTAAAAACTAATTTTTTCCCCTATTTTGAGCTGGTAAAAATTGTGTTTGGCACATTCCATATGCTAAAAAACAGTTGCAGGATGACTGTAAGTCTGTAACAAAATATAAAACATTAATAATATTTAAAAAAAGCCACTTAAGAGCTAAAATGTGCTTTCCACGTATGTGGCCACTGAGTCCTAGGAGGTTAAAAACCTAACGCTACTGGGCGATATGACGCCACCGACGGCTTCTGTTTATTTTTGAGTTTGATGACAAATTGATGGCTTGCCTCCATATAAATGGCTTTCCTGGTGTTACCAGTGTGCCCAGTATCTCGCCACCTACATCACCAGACTTGTGATGCGGAGCAGAGGGAATCGCAACGATGGGGTTTGAGTCTGGAAAAGAATGATTTCAGAAACCAAGTAAAACAAACTATCACTACAGTATCACTATGATTTGGGTTTAGGTAAGAGATGGGCGGGTCAGTCATTTAGTCGAAAGCAATCTGGCCTGGTCAGCTGAAGTATATACTACACCCTCTGGGGTGTCCACAATGAGCCTGGGTTGATTACTTGCACCTCAGAAGACAAAATGCAATGAGCAAGCCATGGCTTTTGGAGGTGCAAGACCATTCAGGGAGGTAATAATACTGGACCACTTTGATGACAGACTTTGGCTGAGGGATTTTATAATGAGCAAAACAACATTTCACATGTTTTACAATGTGGTTGGTCCATTGGTTAGTCTAATAGTGTCATCTCATCACGCCAATTAAACGATCTGCTAAACAAAATCACATGACTTTTTTTGATGTGCATGTTAGAATTTATTTGGTAAATGTGTTTCCGGGCACATTTATGGGCACATTTTCTAATCGGAATTAAAGTTTATCCAATACTAAGCTTTTTATGCATATATTGGCGTGTTTTTATGTTATATTTCAGAATGTGCATAAAATAGGTGGATGGAAATATAGCTATAGGTACAGAAGCACTCAGATCAGTAGATTGTTTTTGTTTTGGCCAGGAATTTGGAACTTCTCATTTGCTACTGCATTTGTTTCCCAACCCTATTCTTGGCGGCAAACCAACAGTACATCCCTTAACTGACCCATTAACTTCAGATTTTGGAGTTTCTTCTAATGTTCTGATGAGCTGATTTAGGTGTGTTTGATTAGCTAAAGGTTGAAAATGTGCACTGTTGGCGTGCCTTCAAGAACAGGGTTGGGAAACAATGGCCCATGTTACAATGCAAATTGAACCAGTCATGAAAAGTTGATACGTTTCTAGACAATCACAAAATTCCTTTGCAAATTTTTGCTACCATAGTGTCCTGTACACTCCTATCATGTAAAGGTGAAATTATGAATATAAATGTGTCCAATGTATGTAGTGTACAAGAGTCTTTTTTAATGAGGTGTAAAACAATGTTGCGTAACCCTAGCTTAGATTGTCATTATGGCTCACTCAGTAGACCAAAGGCAGTTCACACATGGCAGAATGTGAAGGGACGTTGCCATTTTTCAATACATTGACACGACACAAAACATGGATACACAAGCAGGACCAAACAGACAACATAAATCTAAAGAGATTCCCATCTTGGTTTGATTTCAGTGTCAGCACAGTGTATTCACCCTGAATTATGGTGGAGCGTTGGGACTCCACTGCTGGCTGGCATGTAGGTAGTCATGTTTTCAGGAAGATAAAGTGAAGATTTAGTGACATTTATCCAGGCACCCAGCTCTGTTTGCTGTGGGTCTGCGGCGTGCCTGTAAATCCAAATCCTACGCCCATTCCTTGTGTCAGTGAGGAATCAAAATTGAAATCGATTTCCTCTCCAGAGTCCATAATGTCATGTAGGAGTATAGACTCCATGTCGCAGTCCAGGCTGCTGTAGAATACATCCATATCCAGGTCTGCTGGCAGGCGCTCGTGTTGGTAGAGCTGATGGGGGTGGTGGTGGTAGTTGTGGTAACCTGTCCCTGTCCCCTGAGGCTGGCGGTAGAGTCCGTATGCCAAACTGTGTTCATGTGGATCAGTGTAAACGTAGGAATGTGGTTGTGGATATGGGGTTGTAGCAAGGTGACAAGTGTCTTGAGCGATTCCCTGTACGCCTGCAGGGTTGAGTGCGGTGGAGGCTGGGAGATGCACAGTCACTGGGGGGCTGTATAGATAGGGGGATTTATGCATGTATGACTGCATGTGTCCGTCAGTGGGCTGAGAGTGGACCGATGTAGGCCGATGGTCCTGACTCAAGCTTTGAATGATATTGTGAAAAGGTTTGGAGGAAGTGTTTGGATTGCTGGGATGGAGACCTTGAGAGACCATCATTGAGTGCACCTCGTTCTCTTTCCCATGCATCATTTCCTTGACGAACTGCTGGGGTCCTGTGGTTAACAAATTCTGGATGGTGCTTGCACCTTGCATACTACCCGAGTTGTCCTCAGTAGTTGGTATGGAGGAACGGTGCATGCCTACATCAGGCAGGCCATAAACTGGCTGAGTCTCGCAACTGGAGCCTTGGCTCTTTATGTCACTGACGTAGTGGTAATGAGGGTTTTTATGACATGGGGATTGATGCTGCTTGTAGCCAATTGTTGCTCTGAGATCTGTAGGACAGTGGGATGCAGGGGAGTGGGCACTGGAGGGGCTAGGAAAGAGTCGTGGAGATGCTGAGCAGGATTTCCTCCGTTCTTCAGGCTCTCCCAATTCCCCCTCTCCAAGGATGGGTGACAGATGACCACTAAGTGTTGAAGTGGAAGAGCTGCCAAGTGAATGGAGATCCGTCCATGTGTCGAACTCATCCTTAACCACAATTCTACCTGTTCCAGAGTCTGGAGAGCTACAAAACTCCAGCAGTGTCTCTGTACTCTGCTCTCTTTTCCCAGTTGTCTTCTTACGGTTGGTTCGACCTTTACTCTTTAGTGGCTTGATGCCATTGTCCATGGAGACAGCTCGGCGGCGTTGAGATTTTCCCAGCTTTCCGCCCTCAGGATTCAGCATCCACCAGGAGCTCTTGCCAGTTCCCTCATTCTGCACACGGATGAAACGCGTGTGCAGGGACAGATTGTGTCGGATGGAGTTCTAAAGAGAGAAAATTTAAGGATTTTGGGTTAATTGGTTTCAAAACAAAATATTTAAACAGGCATAACTATTTAAAAAAATATACACGCTACTACTGTATGTAGAGCATAGTGATGGGAAGTTCGGATCATTTTACTGACTCGGTCCTTTGAGTCTGGTTCATCAAGATGAACATATCTTTTTACACTCATTTTGTTCAATTCCTTTAATTTGCCAAAATAACATTAAAATGTTATAAGATGCTTCTGAAGACATCTACAACTAGCCCAAACGTTGATCACACTACAAGTTATAACTAGAATACTACTGTACAATGAAATACAATGAAAATAATCCCTCATTGTTTACCTGGTGTTTTACCTATGATTAGCTCTGCTCACATCGTCTAGCATGTCTTCAAACTTGAGTGGTTCTTTCACCTGACACTGACAGTCTTATTGACCTTATTCTCTGCAGACGAGCGGGCGCTGCCATTTGAATCTTTTTGGCACGAGACTTCCAGTCTCATTCACTTCCATTCATTTTTAGACATTAAAAACTGCTTGTTTCGCTGTTTGATGTTGCAAACTGATATTTCCTTGTTATATTATTCTACTTGGTCTGTATAGTCATGCAAACATTTATTTGTAGAGCAAGTAGTTTGACCGTTTTTTGCCGTTTATTATTCCTTGTCATTTCTCCCATAGGCCAGTGGTTCTCAAAGTGGGGGTCGGGACCCCTTGAGGGGTCGCGGAACAATGAAGGGGGGTCGCCTGGTGATTTCCAAAAATCTACTTATTATTATTAGGCCATAAGAATGACCATATTTTATCCATAACCAACTGAAGAGAAAAAAACTGTCGTTTATAGTTACTATAGTAGCTTATTTACGTGTTCTATTGGATTGCGACCCCTGGGGTAATTACATTATATTAAAGACAATAGCATCAGATGCAGCAGATTGATTTTATAACACCAGGTTAAACTTTATGGCCCATTTACAGCACTCACTCGTTTTAAAAAATTAAACGAAGAATAGACTTTGGTCTATTGGTGTGTGTGTGTGTACGCCATTGCATGCAAGTTTTCTGTATTTATAAAAACCTTAGAGGATATTGGGGGTCTCGAGTCACTGGTATTGTTATTTTTGGGGTCGCTTGCTGAAAAGTTTGGGAACCCCTGCCATAGGCGACTGAAACGGAAGTCTCTATGACAATCGCGAAAACAGGCGCACTTCCGCATTTTAGAATAAGGTCAATATGAGCCAATGCACACAGGCTGAACCACCAAAGATTAGTTCACCTTTTGAGTCTTCGGGTTTTTGAGTCGTTTGCTCATCACGTGACAGCATTTAATGAGATGACTCAAACCTGAGGACTTGAGAAATTAACTGATCAAATCTGTTTCCGGCTCTAAATACATATGATTGGCTTCTGTCTTTCACATGATAAACAAACAACTCAAACTAAGGACTTGAGAGATGAACAGATCAAATCTTTTTTCCGGCTCTACATGCATTTGATTGGCCTCTGTCTTTCGTGATGAACGAACGACTTAAACCCGAAAAAGGACTCGAAAAATGGGACTCGAACGCCCCATAGCATTCGCTTGAAAAAACGAAATGCGGTCATAAGTACATCCGGCTACGTAAATCACAGTCTCCAGAAACGTCTGCGGGGCTACGTTTTCAGAATGAGCTTGGGTTGCATAATTTGAACAGAACATGAAGACAGAGTGGGACATATATTAGCTCCTCCCCTTTTTAAAACACAGCCAATTTTTATTTTATTTTAATACTGTTCTGCCAGTGACAGTGCTTGAGCTCAAAGAGATATAGCAGTAGTTTCAATATGCTTATTTCATGTGGCTACAGTTTTAAAAAACAAAAGTGAGACTGCTGTGGGAAGAAACCCAGAAGTAGAGGACCAGCAATGTAAACATTGCAACAACATACTGTAGACTACAAACCTCCAGCTGTTGCTGTAAGTTCAAAGTGCAGTTGTGGTGTAAATATCACTTTAATATCATTCAGTACAGTTTAATTTAATCACTTAAAAGCATTTTAGGCATAAAAACAAAATCATTCATTCAACATTCAGAATGACTTTTAGACCATCATCTTTATCGTTATCATGCTTATAGTGGGAACGGGCCTCATTGCCAGTGCTAATAGTTCACATATTAGCGGTGTTCTACTCTGACAATGACTTTGATTATTTGTTATGTTATTAATTGGTAGTTAACACATTGCTCAGTAATGAGATGTATTGAATGTTCATTTAGACAACATCAGTACAGCCCAGAGGTAAATCTAAGATATCACGCAGAGGCATTTCACGTCTTGTATAATTTTCTCCCGCCCCACCATTTCCCTGTCCAGTAGGGCTGAGCTGCTGGGAAAGTTAACTGGCATTGACACCATGTCTGCTCCTGTTAGACAAGAGAAGAGAGGCTGCGTCAAAGGCTATAAAGTCACTTTCTGCAGCTCAACTAAAACACTTCCAGGGACTTTTAATTAACCACAGACTCCAGTCAAGTTGATGGTACGCCCTGCCAGGGCAAATAAGCAAAATACATTCTTTTTGCCAAGGTAAAATGTTGCATTACAGAGCCCGTTACTCATTTATTACTGAAAAGTTTTGTTTATTTTGTTTGATTTTTTTATTCTTTTATGATACCTCTTCTGTTTGATTTGATTAAGAGTTTAATATCTCCTTATTCATTATATCCTTCATCTCCCAGTGCTTTTTAACAGCATTCTATATGTTGCTAAACAATGCAAACAGATGCTGAATGGATGCCCTTATAGAAAACAATGTTTACAATTGTGCAAACCACTTCTCTCATGCTGCATTCACAGCAGATGCAGATGAAGTGTCAAGCATGAATGATTTACATGTTACGTCAATGCAAAGACGTGAATAGACATCCTGTGTCGCGATTCGCATGAATGAGGCAGTGAGAATGACGAAATTCACTGGAGTTGGATCATCTGAACTTCAACAAACATTTGGGCTCTGTTAACCAATCAGGAGCTTTCTCTTGTAGGGGTGTGATTATGATGTAGCGCCTGTTGTTAGTGTCCCGAGGGGAAATCCTTTTGCTGACACCGGACAACAGATCATCAAACTGGGCTAGGCTCAGTCGAAAGCACCGCTGAAAGCTTCCATCATCCAGGTACAGTTTCTGGAGGAGTCTCACAGAACTGAAAGGGTCTATTGGGCTCAGAATGTATTCGTGCATGCCACGTTTGGTGTGAACACAGCATTAGGGATACAGCTGCTACTGGAAGTTAACAAGGATTATTTAATAAATTAGCCATTAAATTGTATTTTAATAACCTTTACCCTTGCCACAATGACAAATCTACCCATTTAAGTAATGTGAATTGAAGTACAGTAATTGTATTATTGTAATAATAATATAAATAATTCTCATTAGCTTCCTGCCAGAGCTGTATATCATCTAGATCAGTGGTTCTCAAACTGTGGTACTGTAACGGGGAGACTGACACGGAGGGATCCATTTTGCAGTATTTATTAAGTCACACTTAAACATCAACACCTCGCACGGTTGTGCGAACATACAACATACAACTCAACGATGATTAGCAGATAACAGAGGCAGAGTGATTACCAGGCTTGAGTCAAGGGCAGGCAGCGTGGTTCAGAGTCCGTAATACAGGCTTTAGTCAGGGGCAGGCAGCGAGAATCAGAGTCCGTGTAATCAGGCTTTAGGTCAAGGGCAGGCAGAAGACAGAGCAGAGTCGAGGAACGGGCTGAAGTGGTAAACGGGAGATCAGGCAGGATAGAACGCTCAGAAATGCTGGCCGGGGCTAAACAAGACTTCGCAATGAAGTGTGTGTGTGAGCTGCTTATATGTGGTACGTGGGTCATTAGTGAGATGAAGAACAGGTGTGCTGGGATCTGAGTGAGAAGGATGACGTAATGGTTAGAAGTCCGGAGATGGTGACCTCTGCTGGTCAGCGAGGGGAATGACTGGGACCGAGTCGGTGACAGGTACGTGTTGTCATAGTATTTCCAATAATTTTTTTTTCTTCCGGAGAAAATTTGATTTGTTTTATTCGGCTAGAATAAAAGCAATTTTAATTTTTTAAAAACTATTTTAGGGTAAAAACTATTAGCCCCATAAGCTATAATTTTTTTCAATAGTCTATAGAACAAACCATTGTTTTACAATGATTTGATTAATTACCCTTGCCTAATTAATCCAGTAAAACCTTTAAATCACACTTTAAGTAAAATACCAGTATCTAAAAAATATCTAGTAAAGTATTATACTGTCATCATAGCAAAGAAAAAAGAAATCAGTAATTAAACCAAGAAATTATTTATTGAAAATATTATGTTTAGAAATGTTTCCGTTAAGTCAGAAATCGGGCTAATAATTCTGACTTCAACTGTACATGCATTCTAACCCTCATTTCAAATGCACAAGAAATTGTCAAAAAAACGCCATAGCATATTTGGAAGGGAAGACTAGTTTATAATCCTTTTCACAGTCATTAAACTACAAGTTCTGCATCACTGAAGTATGGTGCACTTTCACTCGGCATCCGTTCCCATGGTGATGGTTGGTTTTGGGGCGCTGCTGAAAATATTTTCTGTGGTCAGTGTTCACATGCAAACCTCAAAACCCTTTTCTGGAACTGATCTTCAATTGCGTCTGCAATATGTTTGTGCGCTTAAATTAATTCCAGGGGAATAAATGTATGATTTAATTACTTAATTACTTAGTTACTTAAGTCCAAGGGTGATATCATTGTAAGATCCTTTCTGGAAAATTCTCATTTTATTTTTTGCTTGGGGGATAAAAACACACACCCTTGGGAAAGCCAAGAAGCACAGGATAAAGCAGTAATGTCCAGTCCTGCTCCTCTAGGGAAGAGTTTAAATTCAAAACAAACATTTAGGACAAACTTTCAAGTGTTTTGAAAAATATTCTGAGTTAAATGTTGCAGGATTTGACTCTTTTCTCACTTCACATAATAGTAAAAATGA